AATTGTAAATAGAGAAATTATAAGAATTAAACTGAAAAAAGAATAAAAATATGAGGTTTCATCCATTTGACGGCTTAGAAGAAAAAGGAGAAAAAAAAAAGAAACGGAAGAGGTGGAGAAAGAAATAAAAAGGAAGGTAAGAAAGGAAAGGAGAGAGAAGGGAGTATGGAGAGGATGAAACAAAGAAAGAAATGGGGAAGGAAGAAGAAGAAGAAGAATATAAGAGGAGGAGAAGAGAAAGAAAAGAAATAAATAATCAATAAATAAAGGATCGTGTGTGAGAACACATAGGAGAAAGACGAAACCAAAGAGGAAGAAGGAAAAGGAAAGAAGAAGATGAAGCAGTAGAAGAAGAGAAGGGAAGGATGAGAAGGGAAAGAAAAGCCAAGAGAGATGGAAGAGATGGAGGATAAAAAATTGAAGGGGTTCGTGCAGGCAGAGAGAGAGAGAGGAAAAGGAAGTGAGAAACAAAAAACAAAGAAAAAATAAAAGAAAAGAAATAAAGGAAGAAAAATAAGTAAAAAATTATGGAGGATTCATTTTGATATTAAACGGATTTAGCTCAGAAAAATTATATTATGTATGGTTCTGAATTCTTTTGTATTCTTATTAATTAGATTTATATTTTAGATTATAGATCGATGAATCATGATGTTCTTAGTTAATTGGTTACTTATGAAGGAAAGAAAATGATTATATTGGAAAAAATAATGTAAAAAAGAAAGATCAAAATATGTTTATATCGAAGATATGCGATCATATTTTTGAAAGTATTAATGTATGCATTTTGAATTAAAAATTGCATATGATTTACATGATTTATAAATATTTATTATTTAAAAGTATTATATAAAAATAAAATATCTATAATTTAAAAAAAACATATGATTTGAACTGTTATTTATTGTTTTATAAGTACTTTTAAGACATCTTTTCAGAATTCATATGAAAACATTAAATTTGAAAATGATAAAAGAAATTGATTATTATTAATTTGAAATAATATGATTAAATCAGTTTTAAAATAAAATATAAAAAGAGATACATTGGAATTCTTATTATGGTAAAAAGTCATTTGATTTAGATACTGATTTTTTCTAGGACTTGAGACATGGAATTATATGTTACTAATACCATGGGGGTTAAATAGGGTTATGAATCTTGTCATAAGAATGTAATATTATCATAATCATTAGTGCTTCTATACCTTATGTTCTGACTTTTATATATATATATATATATATATATATATACATTAGTTATATTTATGAATCTTTAATTGTATTTATATGAATGGCAACCTTTGCGCTATATATATATATATATATATATATATATATATATATATATATATATATATATATATATATATATATATATATATATATATATATAATATTTATATTTATGAAT